CTCCCCGCGCCCCCCCCCGGCTCCCTTGCCGCCCGAGGTCTGAGCAGGCAGGCGCGCTTGGGGAGGTTTCGGATGGTGGGTTTTTTTGTTTTCTTTTTGAGGAAGAGGGTTAGCTGAAGTGAGCGTAAGCCTTTTTTACTTCTGTTCCACCTCCCGCCCCAGAAAAGGAAGCCAAGGCGGCTTGGGAGGGTTAGTTAGGCTTCGGCTTTTTTTTTCCTCGTCAGATAATCGCTGTCGGGGGCCAACTGCGCCATTTCTGAACGAGGTCGGCCGTGGTTTTCGTAGACTTCGCTTCTCGGGCTTTTCTCCACGTGCACGAAAATGCTCTTTTTTGCGCGGCGTCGTTTCTTGGTGGGGGGGGCAAGGAGGACAAGGGACGGCCATTTGCGTGTGTCCCAGAGCCCTCCCTTCTGCAACGTTCAACAGCTCTCCAGGCCCGTACGCGAAGGTTGTGAGGCATGAGCTGTAGGCGCCCTGAGACCGCCAAAGTGGCGGGAAAAAAAATGGGGGGGGGGGGGGGGTGCGCCGCAACACACCTCCACCTGAGAGAGCAGAAAGCCGCCTGACGCTGCAGGGGAATCTTGACTGGGATGCAGGAAGGAGCCTGTAAGAAGCTGGGCTGAGGTACCACCATCAGCCTTACCTACTCTGGATCGCACACCCTGCATCCTTTTCTCTGCTCACCCTTAGGGTAGGACTGTAGGTACAAGCAAAATAGAAGTAAAAAGTGAACCAAAACAAAACCGTGGTGGCACCTTAAAGACTACCTTCTATATTTTTTAATGTGAACTTTTGCGGACAAAGTCACATCGTCAGACCCTTTAGGGTAATTTCTCAGTGTTGTGGCTGAAGGACATACTAGACACATTTAAGGACCTACCTGCTTCGCCCCACAGAGCAAATGGTGATTTGTGCCTGTCACATTCATTGGAAAATTAGGCTGAAAGGGGAAGGATTTGACCCAAATTGGTGGGTCTGGTGGCAGCTAATAAAGGTGAGCTTTTGTGGATTTCAGCTCCCTTTCCTGAAGTGCAGGACCAAATGCCTTAGAGCTGTGTGCTTATTGTAGATACACGAGCTGTTGCTGGGGGACTTTTGAGACCTTTTGCCATCCAAAAGGTCTGAATAGCAACCTCTTGAGGAAGGCTGCTGTGTGTCTGGACTCACTAAAATTTAGCTCAACATGTTTGCAAGAGCGGGGGTTTCTAGAACGGCCCATTTCCCTGGCCCATCTCTTCATCATAATACCAGGTTATACAGATTATTGAAGTAGTGTGTATCATGATATCTTGAATACATGGGAAACTTAATTTAGCATTTATGTATTTAGCATCAATGTTGAAGGAAGGATGGTCCTTTCTTATATTTTATTCTTATACACAAAAAAGGACTTAAATCCACTTTAGTGACTTGTGAGTAGGAAGTCACCAGAGGACAGAGGAGAGGTTCCTTCAAGATTTATGTACGATATCAAGTAACAGTGTTGTATATCAACCATTGGTAGATGCTTGGGGATGGCATAAAATGTGTAGAAATAGTCTTGTCAGTATAATGAATGAAAGCTGCCTATTATGAGTCTCCTTTTTTCTTTGCATGGGAGTCTAGGATCCTCTCATTATGTTGATATTTATATCCCTCCCTATTCTTTAGTGCAAGGTTGGGGAATTGACATGGACCCAAATTCCAATTTGAACTTTTGAAGGTCTTCTCTAGACCACTTTTTAGGAGGCTAAAACAAAGGAAGCAGAAAAACATAAAAGACAAACTTTAAAAACTTTAAAATGTAAGAGGGTATGGATGAACCAGTGATGTCAGGCAGTGGGTATAGTTATGCAAGGATGCCTCATGGCTACAATGTACCTTAAGCTGAAGATTCCCCTTTCCTATTTTATGGCAAGGAAATAGAGGAAATAGCATTCTGCTAGAAGTGGGAGAGAAAACATTGTGTTTCTTCATGCTTTCCTTTAAAAAAAAAGAGAGAGAGAGAGAGAGAGAGCGCTATATGCAAAGAAGAACTCACAGGATTTCAAAGTCTCCTGAATAAAAAATATGAAAAAATAAATAAATCATAAGGCATTGCATAGATGGAGGGATAAGGTAAAGCTTTGCTGGAATCCGGAATTATTTTAATACTTCTAAAAGAGCATTCCTGTGTTATTGTGTTACAGTGGAAAAAGCACTAAACTAAGAAACAAAACTTGGCCTCTTTAATGAGATTGTGTCAAGGGTAAAATATATTTTGAACATAGAAGTAGAATCTACATCTCAGATCTTACAGTACAGAATCCTTTTCTCTTTGGTATCCCAGTCAGCCATGCTATTTCCTTTGAATACTGCATGCCATGCCTTCTAATGTACAGTATGGTGTGGCCAATGGGCACACTAAATCATCATTAGGCTGATTCCTAAACCCGCCTCCCTCGGTTGTACTTCTGCAACTGTAGGGTGCCCTCCTGTGTGTGAGTGAAACTGTTATGTATGTAAGGATTTACACTCAGAGGAAAGAGTCCACTTTTTTATAAATGATGATACAAACGATATCCTATAAAAAGCCATATAACCAGCCTATCTAGGTGAGGGCTGTGTACTCTAACAGCACAGCAGCCCTCACCAGGGCCCCCCCCCATGCCACATCCTGGCTGCCTTGTATTGGCTGTCCATTCCCTTCCGCATTGACTTCAAAGTGTTGGTGATGACGTGTAAAGCCCTAAACGGTTTAGGACCTCGATACCTGGCAGATTGCCTTCTCCTACCTAGATCTACCCGAATCACTCGCCATAGCCAGGAGGGTCGGTTGAGGGGCCTAACGCCGAGAGAGGCCCAGAGAGAAAGAACAAGAAACCGGGGCTTCTCAGCAGTGGCCCCTCGGCTCTGGAATAGCCTCCCATCAGTGATCCATCTGGCTCCCTCACTGGGTGTTTTTAAGAGCCAATTAAAAACTTGGCTCTTCTGGCAGCCCTTCCCTCCTGTCAATACTTGACTTTATTCTTATTATAATTTTCAGTTTTCCCATCTTGAGCATTACTAACATTATTGTTTTGAATTCTTTTAGTTCATAATGTTTAATGGAACCCACCCTGAGTAGATTTTATCTAGGGGGACAGGATAGAAATCTAATAAATAAATAAATCTAGGGGGGCAGAATAGAAATCTAATAAATAAATAAAATAAATCCTTGAGCTAGAGATGCTAAGGATTGAACGTGTGACCATCTGTAGAGAGTACACGAATGCTTCCACGGACCTAAGCCTGCCTCCAAATTACTTTTGCAAAATGTTGCCTCTATTCTCTTAGTTTATTCTTATGCTGATATTGTATAATGAGGAAATCACTTCATAAACTCACTCACACGCACACACATTTAAAAAAACTAAGAGATAAAGCATTACATAGTTGCAGCAATGGGATACATTGTCATTGGTCATGTCTATGTCATATGCTATATAGCAGAGGGAAGGAAGTGCTATTTTTTTTAACCAAGAAAGTTTAGATTTTTGTGCTAGAGCAGAAAAGCAGCCTCCAGAGCAGGCCTGTAGGTACAGAGCCACAAATGTGAAAGAGCTAGGCAATTTTTAAGCTCTCCTTTAAAAAACAAACATACAAACTTCATAGAAGCACTGAAGTCAGCCCATAGGTGTGGCATATGAAGGCATACAAACAAAATAAGCTGCTATAGTTTCTCTTCCTTGTGTCTGAAATGTCAGACTCCAAAGTCCAGATGTTGGTTTGTCTTTTATGCCCCTCCTTTTTTGAGCACTGTAGCTAAAACATTTCAGCCAAGCACGTTTTTTCCTTACAAAATGATAAGGGCTGTTTTGCAAGCCATCCTCTTGCAAATATTGTTTGAAAGGCAAATGAGTCTTTTCTGAAATCTGATTATCAACATCCATCTATATTATGCACAGTCTGAGGTCTAGTTCACGCATTTAGATCTACAGATCCCATGAATCATTTTGACAGGGGAAGAGACAATGTACAGTTGAAGAGCATGTTGAGTTTTTTTTAATACAAAAGGTCCTGAGACTCATCTCCCAGCTTCTCCAGATACAGCTAGGAAAGATATCCTGTTTGAAAGCTGGTCAGCCCAGAGTTTCCTTTTCCCTTCCCTTTCTTTAGCCCACACATGGGTAGTAGGGTGAACTGAGGAGGGAAACCTGGGCACAAGGAACCTAGTCCATTTCAGTTCTAGCTTGGGACTTAAAAGAAAACCAGCCTTAACTGGCCATTACACATTTAATACAGTATCCAGTTTAGTTCTTATTTTATAGAGAATGCTGGGCTAGACTATATGATTCAGTATGAGATTTCCAGACACTTCTGGGAAGCAGTGTATGAAGGGTTGAGGGAGGAGTAAAGGATGGGACTTGGGAGGTGGTCTCTTTTTTTTTACATCTGTTTTAACTTGTCTTGTAAATACCAATCAAACATCAAGTGCCAATACTGCTGTTTCCAAAGTTAGTAGTGGGTTTATTTGCTTTTCGAAACCTTTACATCTCTGATAATGGCTACCATACCTGAGTCCAGAGTTAGAATTAATGCTTGCCTCTTTTGACAGCCTTCTAATTCTCTGCTCTGTCACCAACAGCAGCCAAAGAGAAGAATCTAAAATAACCTGTATCCCTATTTAGCTGTGTGGTTGTCAGAGCAGGGCTGAGCAGCTGTGGCCTTCCAGGTGGTTATTGGACTGCAGAGCACTGCAGAATGTGTTTAGTTGGGCATGTTGCATTTTGAACATCTGTATGCTTTTACCAGATTGCCTGATTTTTCCCACATTTTGCTGTGTCACCCAAAATACTTATGAGAATAAGTATCAAGGGATGTGAGGGCCATTATAAGAGCTGTCATCGGAATGTCAAGAAAGTAGTAAATGTAAGCCAGAATCTTGTTGATGTTTGCGTAACTGCTGAGTAACATGTCTCAGCTAATTGTCTCCAATTGATAAAGTTGAAGTCCATCTGAATCACATGCTTGGTCATGTTCTTAGTGTATACAACCAAGATATGCCTCAGCACCTCATCGGTTAGCCATAACAGGTTGCACAAATTGTATCCAAGCAGCAGAAGGATTCCAGGTATAGTCTCTTTTTAAAAAACTTGCATTGCTAAGAGGGAAACACTGTGAGGATTAATAATTCTTTTTCTGTTTTTAGGATACAATGAATCACAGTCTTGGAGCTGAACAGTTAGCCACAGTGTCTATTGCAGGCTGCAAGTGATAAAGGGGCAGTGTATATTAACCATGGCTCTCCTTGCTACTGCTTTATGGTATTGTAGGCAACTATGCACATATATTGCCCATCTGTTGAAAAGGTAGGTTTTAATAGGGGTGTGTGTGCCTAATTTGCATTAGTGTGATAAATATCTTCCCTACATCAGACTAAATATCACCTTGTCTAGAATTCTGTTCCTTCTTCCCCTTGGTTTTCCATTTTTCCCCCTCCCCAACAGTCAGTGTCCTGTAGCCACAGAGCATGCTTTGTCCTTACTGAGTTGTTTTGAGCTGTTACAGTCAAATTTATCTGGAAGCTTTCCAACAAGGTATGAAGGTAGTGGCCTTTATTCTGCTGCTTGGTGTTTGGTATTCAGAGGTACAAGTGGGACCTGCAACAAAACGTTGCAGTTTAGAGGTTTCTTCATTCAAGGTATAAAATTGCCAGAAATTTTGAAGTTCCTGGGAAAAAATGGGGGGGATGGAAATTGGAAAAGGAAAGGAATATAACTTGTACCAAAGAGAGAGCTGCAAACTGCTGTACACTATACCTTGCAGTGCACAGGCAATGAATGCCTTGTTGTATGTCCTTTAAGCAAGATTGGGAGCATCTGCTAGGTGTAGAAATGTGTCCGGAGTGATATGTGTGCCCCATCATTCTTGAACCACCAGGTAGCCAGCTATAAAAGTTAATTAAATCTCCCTTGTTGCATATTTTCTTACCATTATTCTTATTGTTTGACTTTCCAGGTGGAGCAGATACCTGCAGAAAAAGTTCACAAGTAAAATTTACAGTATTATTGTGTGTGCTTTTTTAAAAAATAAAAGTTTATATTATCTCAAACAGGTCAGTTTTATCAGCTAACATTTATGCTTGATTTAGATAACAACAGCGTTTCGGATGAAGTTGATTTGCTTGGCTACTGTGCCAAGGAATGGAAAGGAGAAACAGAACAGGCCAAGCAAATGAGGAAGGTAAGGTATGAATGAGAGAGTGACGCTGCAAAGCACAAAAATGGGATTCTTATGTACAGCTGGCCAAGCACAGTTTAACTCACCTTTTTGTCATTTTGTTATTTGTTGTGTGTAGTTTTTTAAATATATTTTTTTGTTTTCCTTATAAAAGTAGAGTAAGGTTAAGGGGCAGCAGGGATGGGGTACCCTCGGAGAGGGTGGATTTGAACAGATAAATTACGGATCAATATTTTTAATAGTAATTCTATACATTCTCTTCAATAGTTCCACGTATCAGAAAGAAATATAAATAGTGAGCAAGAGGGAAAAATCAAATTCAGACAGATATATTGTTATTCTAATTATTAATTATGTAGCTGATAGTCTTTCTCCATTCTCATGCATTTTCCCTTTATTTCTTATTTCCCAAGGGATATATTTCCATGTCTTCAGATTCCTTCCTTATATATTGCTCATCTTGCATTGCTTTCAGAATTTTGTCTCTATATGTGGTTTTAATGAATCTAATTTGTACCTCTGTTGGGAGATGATTTTTTAAAATAAATACTGAGGATGCTCTTTTGGCCTCATCTATATTCCACGTAATTTAATCCTTCTCACAATTCGCCCAGTCTGATAGTAAATCAGGTGTAACTTCTAAGAGGTCTTCATTTTGAGTTTATGGTATTCTCAGAATATGTGATGTATTCTTCATCTGGATTTGAGTCATTGGTGTTTCATGTTGGTTTCATCTGGTTTCAGCTTTTCCTGAGTCCTTCTGAAGTTTTATTACTTTTTCCTTCATTTTCTTTGTTAATCTCGCGGTCTTCTATATTTCTTGATTTTGCTGTGTCGTATCCTCTTTCATTTGCCCCAGTTGTAAATTCTTGTCCTCCTGTTGTTTGGAGAGGTCAAACACTTTAATTTTCAGGACTGAAATATCAGACTTAATTTCATCAAACTTTTTTTAGGGGGGTATGTTTTTCTTCGGCTTGAACAAATTAATTGCATTTCAATGGGAAATGGTGCTTCGACTTACGACCATTTTGAGTTACAACCATCTTCTGGAACCAATTAAATTCATAAGTTGAGGCATCACTGTATAGCTGGAAACTGTGATTTTGACATAAAGGAAAGTTTCCAGTTTGATCCCCTTGTGTGCAAGAGTAGGATGAAGGCATTGCACAAGGCCTAGCTTTTTCTTTAGTATTAAGATAGATTTTCAAAAAAATCTATTTTAATACTGTTGATACTAACTACAGTGGGCTTTCAAGGGGACCAGTGAAGATGTAACACACAGTTCAATGCAAAATCTCTCTTAAGCATTCAGATACACAAAACAAAATTTGGAGCACACATCTATAATTTAATCTGATATGCAAACAATTTTTCAGCCACCACATCCATTTTCAAAGAGGAGGAAGCATGCAGAATATCCTTAATGTATTATCTTAGGCAAGGTTGTTTGAACAAGGTACTTTCTTCTGTCCTGTCTAAGGATATAATCTTTAAAACATAATTCAAGTTTAAGGTGGCCCGAAAATGCTTCAACCATATGTTTTTAATATTAGGGTGTGATGAAACAGACATTTAGCTTACGGTTTGGTCCACTGTGGAAACTCCTTTTTCCAGCTATCAGACAGTGTACAATAATTGTTGGAGCAAACCATATTGCCCCAGAGTATACTTACCCACATCTTTCTGATCCCCTGTCAAGAGCTTCTACTTTTTTGGTGTGGGTAGGATTGCTCTGGTTTGATCCATTTTCAGCACATGTGATTGCTGGGAATGGACCAGAAGTGAGCCTTGCAGCTGTGAAAGCTATCAAGGCTCCTTTGACTGTCAATTTGCTATACATTTTCTATACATTTGCTATACATTTCCGCAGCACAGGTCAGGGAAAATGAATTTTTAAAAATACAGTTATTCCGGAGCTGTGCTGCACCACTCATGAACTACTACTACTACTACTACTACTACTACTACTACTACTACATAATACTATACTGCTACTTAAAATACTGTTATTCCAGAGCTGTGCTGCACCACTCATGAACTTCTACTACTACTACTACTACTACTACTACTACTACTACATAATACTATACTGCTACTGTTACTGCTACTGCTACTGCTACTGCTGCTGCTGCTGCTACTACTACTACTACTACTACTACTACTCCTACTACTACTACTACTACTAATAATAATAATAATAATAACAAGAGGGCGCAGCAAAGGGCTTTTCTTCCCTTATCTTAAAGATCGGGTAGAGAACCTGCCCATAACAGAAAGAAAGCCTTGTAGCTGTCAGCCAAACACGCCCCTAGCAGCTAGCCACATCCATGACAAGGCTTGGTTTGATTGATGGCTGCAAAGGCTTGCTTTCTGCTATGGGCAGGTTCTTCACCTGACCTTTAAGATCAATACAAGAAAAAGTGGGAGGAGTGGGAAGCATCTTGTTTCTTTCTCCTGCTTCCAGGAAGAAGCTTTCTGTTATTTTTCATTTGCCTATAAATGGTGCAGTGAATCTGTACAGGAATAATGGAATCTTTAAGTAATTCACCTCTCCTCTTCCTATCCACAGAGGAGCAGAGGAAGTGTTTAATTTGCCAATATCCTGAAGTTACTTTCTTCTTAAGCCACTTCACAATATAGTAAAATTGACTGCTGGACTGAATAGTCATTGAGGTTTGATATGCCATTAGGATCTGAGGATTTTATCAAATAGCACATCACACCTCTACCTGACTCTAGGTGACCCCATTTGGCCCACAGCAATCCACTTCAAAGTTGCCTGTGGTGTATATTAGTGCCTTTTGATGTATATTAATGCTCCCAATTAAACAGTTTGCTTCACAAACAAAGAGGCTAATGTCAAGGTAGCTAGCAATGGTTGTTGCGGGTTTTTCGGGCTCTTTGGCCATGTTCTGAATGTTGTTCTTCCTAACGTTTTGCCAAACTATGTGGCCGGCATCTTCAGAGGACAGCACTCTGGGCTCTGGTGTAGTTGGCTTGGGAGTGGTGTATTTATGGCTGTGAGATAGACTTTTGTCTTTTTCTGTAGATGAGTGATTAGTGTGTCTTGTGGGTGTATTGTTGTGGTAAGGAAGAGAGATTATCTGTCACTGTGGTTGATGGGTGTCATTAGTTGGTCTTTTGTGTGTAGTGATCCCCGGTCTCTGTGGCTGGGTAGAGTTCGTTGACCTTTTGCACGCTGTATTTTTGAGAGCTGGGAGCCAAGATTTGTTGAGTTTCAAACTTTCCTCTTTTTTGTTGAAGTTCTGCTGGTGCTTGTGGATTTCAATGGCATCCCTGTGCTAGGAATAATCAGTCTTTTTTTTCATCAGTAAGGGGTGTCAGTGTCAACTGGACATTGCCCTAGAAGAGACAGTTCTTTCCTTGGATATATTCATCTGGATCTAGGAAGAAGTATTTCCTAAATATCATTGCTGGCTGGAGCTACATTCCTTGACATTTGCAGTTGCTACGTCCTTAGTTACTTCATCAAAGAGAGAAGAGGCTGTCTTCATAAATATACTGGACTTCAAACTGCTAATAAATGGAAATAATTATTTTAAATGTATCTCCCTTCCCACTGAAGTCTTCAGCAGACTCTGCAGTGTGTCCTGCTGCATGAGGAGTTTGGTGATGATACAGGACAAGGCCTTTTCAGCAGTGGCATCTAAACTATGGAGCTCTCTCACAAAATTCTTCCATCTTGGACTCATGTTACAGGCACTCTTGTCACTTACTGAACATTATTTGCTTCATGAAGCTCCCATTCTGCTGCTCTTAGTGGAATCCAAAATTTACCCCCTTCCTTGCTGCATAGTACGGCCATATATCTTGATCTGCATTTGGATGGGCATTGAACAGTGGATTCATCCACTCATTTGCAGTCATCCAGAATTCAGGAAACATATTTTTATCATAATCGTTGTTTTCTTTTAAAGGCTTACAAACAGTTGTTTTGGAGACATCATGTGAAATATCTACGACAAGTCAAGGAAGATAGTTATTGTGTGCTGAGGGCTGTATTGTTCCAGATATTTAGCCAAGGTCTTCCTGTTCCATCATGGACAAAGGCAGTTGATGTCCTAAAGGTACATCCTGAACAAACAATGCAATACGAGTTGAATTATTTTCTGATTTTACCCTATACTTGTGATCCAAGACTATGCGATCCTTGAACATCAGACTTTCAGAATGAGGTTAAAAATATGTTGGAGACAGCACCTTTAGTCTCTTATGCCATTGATAGAGCTCATAAATTGGATTTCCCCCCCTCTCCCCCCTTTTTTACCTATTGAAAAAGTACAGGATATATTCAAACAGCATTGGATTTTGACAGGTTATTGTGAAAGAAGCATTTTCAAGTTTTGATAACACCATCTTATGAGAAGCATTGGTATTATTGTTATGTTCATGAGCCTTGTTTTAAATATGCCTTTGCAGGGTTAATTGAGGATTTACTAACATTAACTAAATGTTTCTATTTCAGGACTAATTTGAGGAAGATTACTTCTGAGCCTAATGTCTTTGCATTAGAGTTTTGATTGTATCAGCCCATAATTTAGTATACTTGAAACCCTGCTTATGTCCTTTAAAAAAAAGATTCTTTCTACTGAAGTAGAACTCTTCTGGAAATCCTTTGAACATTATTCTATATTTTAGTAATTTCAATAACATCACTATGAGCTGTAAATATACGTTTGGAAAAACATTTCTATCCAGTATATATTTCTATTACAGTAATGTTCTCTGTAGCCTCTAAGTAAATGTGCCCATTACATGCACAAGTTGATCGTGTCATGACACAGTGCTATTTAAGCATAAACACATTTTTGTTCAGTAGCAACAACAGTTCTTTTTATTTCTTGGAAAGATGCTTTTCCACTCAATTCAACTCTCATAAATTGAACAAGTAGAATTTTCTGTCCATTTCATGGAAAGAAGTTTCTCCAATGAATGTATCAGAAATTGTAACAAGCAAGCAGATTTGCTTGGAAGATGGAACTACTTTGATTAATTGAAAGAAGTGTAAATGACTTACACCTCTCCTCCCAATGCTTACATGTCTCATCAAAGCAAAACCTGTTTTTTCTTTGGGGTTCATTCTATTTAAAATCTTTATTTCCTGTTGAATTACTCTATTGAAGCCAAGGTTGTGCGCTTATCTTTTTCAGATCCCTGAGAAACTTCTTTATTCACAAGGCTGTAACTGGATCCAGCAATATAGTTTTGGACCCGAGAAGTATACTGGCTCCAATACATTAGGGAAATTACGTAAATGTATTGAAACTTTAAAAAGTCAGGTAAGTGAAAAAATATAAATAGGTTGATAGGAGCTGTCAAGGGAAATAATTAAATGGCACTAAAACTTAAATAAAACAAGTATGGAGGGAAATTATAACTGGAGAGTTATAGACATTGAATGAGAGAGATGATATTTTTGATCTAGCAGACTTCTGTAATACGAAGTGAACATTTCTTTTTACTGTTTTAGAAAGGCATTTGTATTGTGGGTTTGGTTATATAGAGATGTATTTAATTAATTTTAAAACATCTTAATTGATTGGCAGCCCTAATATTGTTTGGCATTGTACTAGGCAGCAGTGGAATTTTCAGAGCTTGGCAATGTTTTATGATAGGAAGATGCTCAGATTATTGATAGTATTTGGAAGAATGTTGAATTTCTCTTTAATCATAAACATATTTCCATTATGTTGGCATGTGTAATAATAGGACATAAGTGGAAACAGAAAAACAAGCAATGTTTGGCCTCCTCACCCTTAATAATGTCCAGTGCGCTGCCACCTTCAGACATTCATTTGTATAATAGAACCAAGTTGCACGATTGTCACGTTCCTGCCTGTCCCTTGATTGTTTCACCAAACATAGGGCACAAGCTACATGCCTTTCAGCGGCCACCAGTTGATTATATCAACATTATGTATTGTTAATAATAGAGGTCCAGGTAATGTGTCCAGTAAATGGAACCACATAGTAGTTATTTATTAGTACAGGTGATGAAGGTACAATCAGTACCAAACATCCCACTTCATCCACTCTCAACCGCCAGCCCTCTCTCTGTATTCAAAACTCCCAATTCCCCAATCTCCCTTCTCAAAACTCCAATCTAATCTCCTCCTCCTTCTGCAGAGAATCTTATATCTCGTGACTCCGCCTCTGCAGCAGTCTCGTTGATCCATACAGATAGCATATTCAGATCTTATATCTCATGACTCCGCCTCTGCAGCAATCTCGTTGATCCATACAGATAGCATATTCATGACCCGGGCAAACGCCACAACGATAAACTAGGAACTTCTGAAATTCATGTTTGCACTATGTCATCTTCCCAAAAAGCACAGTAAATTGTTGTTATATAATGGTATGCAGAACTAAACATTCTCTCGTCCTGGAATTAAATACCCAGAGTTCTTTGAAGGGAGATAGGAGTAGTTTACTTGTCCTCCAGTAATAGTTTTATTGAGAGTAACTTTTGCAGTGTAGGTGTGCTGTTAAGGGCCTGTAGCCACCCTCCATGTCCTTTATGCCTGATTTAAGTTCCAGTGTGTTAACAATGAATATGTTCTTCCTTTGGACCTAGAAAATTTCCACTGAGCAATGAAGCTCCTGCTTCAAACTGTTGTCTGACCTATGTTGTATAGTCTTTGCAAAATTCCCCAGGAACATCTTTCTATTATATAGAGAAGGAAGGAGGCAAAGGATTGGCAGAACAGATAGAGACAAAACAGAAATGGATCCATGCTTTTCTGTGGTATCTCCCATCGCATTTTTTTCGTGCTTTGCAAGATTGCAGCCATTAATTTCTGTGCCCTGTAAATCAAGTAATTACACAGTTTAGCTATGTGCTCTTGTGTTGCTTGTGGATGTAGTCTTCAGCTTAGGATTTTGCTATTTATTCTCAAACTTGGTAACCTGCCTTTCAGGGCAGCTGCTCAGTGCAGTTAGAATCCTGTGACTGAATTGGTGGAACTTAAATTGAGCCTTTTGCAACTGTGGAAACATGTGTACGTGGTTTGACCTGTAATAAAACACTGAAGTTATGCAGTGCTTTTTCTTCAGACATGCTCTTATCCAGGATGCTCCATTCATTCTTCTTTCAGTTTTCTGTGTGCTCTCCTGCTCATTCAGCACTCCATTGTCACTGATCATGCTGTGTTTGTGAAACCGAACCGTTTTCAGGAGTCAGAGTTGCCTGCATAAGATTTTTTTTCCTTAAATTTTTCCCAATTTTCTGCAACTCATTGGACGGAATCCAGTATCTAAATTTATGCATATGTCAGGGAAATTACATAAGTCTTCCTGGAAATGCACTGCTCATTAATGGTTGCATTCCTGGCCAGGGTGTTTTATCCTGGGCATGCTAACGCTCCCCTCTCATGGCCAGGTGGTACGAGCAAATTAGGTCATTAGTATATGTGATAGCAAAGCTACTTTGGCCAAAATAAACCAACTACTTAATTTTAACATTTTTTTTGTAGCAATGATAACAAGTGGTTTTAAAAAAAATATTATTTTCCCATAAATTGTAGTGGATGGAGATAAGTGGCATTAGAGACCCATATGAAAGAGGAAAACTGTGCTGTGCCATTTTTACTGATGAAGACACGGAGCACAAGATGTTTGAGGCCATAAAATTTTTTATGCTCTACCAAGTAATAGAAGCCTATGAATGCTTCAGCAACAAACAAGAGGGTATCCCAAGGTTCTTTTACAGCCTGTTTACACAGGATACTTCCTTGGACCCTTTAAGCTACATGATGAATCATCTGAATTCCATAGGCGATGGAAGAAGTCTTGATCAGGTAACTATGCTCAAAGTTTCTGTCTCATTTGAGAAAATCTTTAAAAGTTCTAACAGTTGGTTGTGTTGAGATTGTGTTTGGGAGGGAATCTCCTGTACATCAAGGAAACAAAGGCTGGGAACAAAATGAAAACAAAGGAAAAATGCAGTGGAAACAAAATCAGTGTTCCCTACCGAGAGGCATCCTGACTGTTCCTGCTTATTTTGCATGCTTTATGTTGTCTTTGCTTTTCGTGGTGGCAGGATAACCCCCTGACCACTGGAAATCTTATTCGGCCACTTCTCTGATCTTTGAGATGTCATAAAAACATAGTTCTTTTCTTTTTTAAAAAAAGTTTGCTTCTCTGAAAAAGAAAGTTCACTTTCTTGTGAATCCTACTCCTGACAGGGTGATTTCTTCATTGTATTGTTCAAATATACAGTTTAATTACAGCGGTTTCCTGAAAAGCATAATATAGTTATAGCAAATGTTTTTCACTGAAACTTCAGTGGATACATTTTCCAAATTATAATCTATGCCAGGATTATACATTTTTTAAATTTGTGAAATTATTATTGTACAATTATACATTTTTAGAGCCTCGTGGCGCAGTGGTTTGCTGTATTGCAGCCAAAACTGTGCTCGTGACTCGGGGTTCAATCCCAGGTAGCTGGCTCATGGTTGACTCAGCCTTCTATCCTTCCGAGGTCGGTAAAATGAGTACCCAGCTTGCTGGGGGGGGGCAACGTGTAGCCTGCATAATTAACTTGTAAACCGCCCAGAGAGTGCTTGAAGCACTGTGGGGCGATATATAAGCAGCACACTTTGTTTTTAAATTTATGAAATTATTATTAAATGATATTTTGAGATGAAGTTCATATATGGAAAAGATAAATGCAATCATCATAAAGTAATTCTCTCTCATCTTGAATAAATTGCATTGCATAGCAATAAAATCTGCACCACATCCATAACTTCTTGCACCTAGTGTTAAATTTGTTTGTTTGTTATTTCAACTTATAAGACATTCATAATACATTCATAATATACACATACATACATAAATGTATTTATTTGGTAAATTTCTTCAATGTAATTATAAAACAGTGTCATTTCTCATGCCATCAGACTTAATTTCCACATTCTATCAATGTATTTCCCCCCTAAATATATTTGCTTTTGTTAAACTTTTTTTGAAAATTGCCTTGTCTCTTCCACAGATTGAACTGTTTCTCCTTGGATACGTTCTTGAAGTAAAGATAATAGTTTATAAGATTTGTAAGTTCAGTTCAGATGTTTTTCAAGAATACTGCTTAGAGGGCTATCAGAGGGACTGGCATGAAGTCTCCCTCCTGACTGAAGATGACCGTCATTATCACATCCCTGTTATCAAAATGTAAAACTCATTTCTGATGCTGCTGAGAGAAGCATCTGACATTGCATCCCCTGCTGATGATTTGTAAAGTATCCAAACAGTTAAGACTGACTAGATGTATACCAGGGCATGAGCCAAACCATCTCTCAACTTATCTACCTCACAGGGTTGTTGTACAGGTAAATTATTTAACCCTCATGTATGCCAGATACCCAGTTTGGTGTAGTGGATAAGTGATTGACTAGGACTCAAGAGCCCTGGATTCGTATTTCTGCTCAGACATGGAAGCTCATTTGGGATGTGGAACTGGTAAAGCCATTCCTTCAATATCTCAGTTATCTTGAAAGCTCTGTTTGGGTCGTTGTGCCGGTTCCAGCTTGATAGCACATAAGGTAACATGTATGCCACCTTCAGGTTATCAACAGCAATATGTTTAAGAATAAATGTGATTGGCAATGGGACAAGCTAGATATAGGTGCCAATTCACCTAGTAAGCTTTTACTGTGCTATTAAGATCTGTTCATTTTAGGTATGTGGACACCACAGGCTTGTAAATGAAGTTATTCCATTTCTCCTGGAACCTCTAGTTCTGCAAGAGAGGTGGCGTAGAGATATCTCAACAGAGAATTCCCAACATCATCACAAAGTGACAGTTGGGAGAACTGCTTGGGGGAAAGGTGTGGCATGAAATTGGTATATGCTGGATATAAACTGGTAATCTAGTTATGTTCTTTGAGACTGCAGTCAAAAAGTCTGTGGATCCTTCATTCCTGTTTAGTTAGTCTCCTATACAGCTCCCCCCCACCTGTTAAACTCTGTTGAGCAAGCAGGGACTTGTGGTGTAATGCATTGGTCCCCAGCCTTGGGCCCCCAGATGTTCTTGGACTTCAGCTCCCAGAAGTCCTGGCCAGCAGAGGTGGTGGTGAAGGCTTCTGGGAGTTGTAGTCCAAGAACATCTGGAGACCCAAGGTTGGGGACCACTGGTGTAATGACCCCAGGATCATGAACTGAGACTTTATAGCAAGCCGTGGTTGTTATGTTAAGTCTTTTAGAAAGTTCACAGCATATTTTAAAACCAAATAGAAGCACTGCTTATATCTCATGTTGTGGGAAATCATGGTTTATTATTTCATATACCTGCTGGAATTCTGTTGTGGCAAAAACGTATTTGTTACCTTCACATTGTACACGCTGCATGACATGACCTGGAGACCACAGTTTCAAGGCCCCACACTAGCTTAGACAACATGGCAAATAGAGGCTTGACTTACATTCTCACAGCAGAAAAGTGGAAGAAAGCCATTTGTATTGATCTTTCCAAGTACGTAAGTTCATGAAACGTACTACCTACAACTGACCCAGCATGTCATCTGATGAACTAGATCATTATCGTAAGGGCTGTTATATAGCTTCCGTTGTCAAAAGGGTACCAGTCAGTAAGGTTGATAGTGCTTCAGGTATAGATGAGAGTAACTGGATACCTTCTGGCTTGCATTTGTGCTCCAAATTCTGTACCAAGAAATGCAAAACCCAGCAATCTTGTGTAACTCTGTCAGATTAGGAAGATTTGCATAATTCAGTGGTTTATCCTGTTTTGTATACTCTTTTCCTGGTTCTCCCTTTTAAAAAGCTGATAGATGCAATATGAATATAATATCCAAGATGAACTTTCTATTTATTATGTTGTCAATAAAGATAAGCAAAACATGATTAATAAAATTTGTAACAGAGATAAGAACTCAAAGATTAATAAGAGGAGACAGTATAAATCTAAAACATTTCAAGGGTTGGGACTTCTCAGTCAAATAAAACATACCAGATATCATATCACAATCCAATAAATTATTCTGGTTGAATATGGAAACATAATGCATTTGAACCTGAGCAATATTCTTTTCATAACAAAATAATAACATAGTAAAAATGTAGAAAATGCCTTCTTTAAAAATGTAGCCCTAATTTGGAATAGACATTGGAAAATATTTATCTCACCAATTTCTACACTGTATCTGGTGACAGAGTTGGATAAATTCCCAGGAAATCTAAAAGAGAGAACTTATCAGGGAAGTCACAGGTTATTAGAATGAAGGTTTGGTTAGAAAAATAAAAATAAAGAACAAATATGGATAACATATCTTGGTATATTATTATTATTGGTATGGATAGCATATCTGGATATAATATTATTCAGTTAGAGTAGTGGGCAAAGAACTTGGTAAAAACAAATGATAACTATAAGGAATTTACAAGAAATGTTACAAAACAAAAGTGCAAGTGAAAAAGTAGTGAAAGGGATACTAAGTAAAATGTATAATATATTGTTAGAAGCTGAAGATCAGGAAGACTCATTTAAAATGTTATGGGGATTTGATTTGGGAGAAGAAAGTATTAGTGCTTTGAAAAATATATGACATATTAGAATATTAAAATCTATCAGTAAGTTTAAAAGAAAACATATATAGGTTAGTTTGGAGATAATACTTTATTCCAGTGAAGTTAAATCAAATAGTAATAAAATGTGCTGGAGCAGGTGCCAGAAAGGTACTTATTTTCACATGTGGTGGGAATGTGAGAATACAGTGGTGCCTTGCATTGCGACATTAATTCGTTCCGCAAAAATCGCTGCAGAATGAAAATGTTGCAGTGCGAAATAAAAAAGCCGATAGAAACGCATTAAAACATGATTAATGCGTTCCTATGGGCTTAAAACTATCGTTCAGCGAAGATCCTCCATAGCGCGGCCATTTCTGCTGCCTCTTAAGCAAGGAATCCGTCCCAGAAAACAGCAGGCGGCCATGGTTTTTTCCCAACTGCCATTTTGAAACCGCCGATCAGCTGTGCGAAAATGGTCGCTTTGCGACGATCGGTCATTGCAAAGCGAAAATACCCCATAGGGAACATCGCAAAACAATCACTTTTGCGATCGCAAAATGTTTGTCGCAAAGCGATTTCATCGCTAAACGGAGCAATCACTATGCGAGGCACCACTGTATATTGAAATGTTGGCAATTGATTTTTAATGGAAAAAATTAAATAAGCAAACTAAAATTTGCTGTGTGTTCTAAAACAGCACTTTTATCAGTATTTGTAAAGAAAGAAGGTTATTGGCCAAGAAAATAATTTCAACTTGTTAAGGGTGGTGAGATTGTTTTTTGCCAGGAATTGGAAAACAACATCTCATTTCCAGTTAACTTTCTGGTATAGAGAAATTTGGGATATAGCTATTAGTGATAAAAATACGTGTAATATAAGTTAAGAGGGGGTAACAGGCAAGGATGAATTTATAGATATATGGGGAGAATTTGTGGGTTTTGTGTTGATGAAAAAGAAGTGGGTAAAGCCCATCACAAGGGTCCATGCAATTCTGTAAGGCAAATGGGACTCCACAAGGGTTGCTATTCCCAAATAGTCCCAGTGAGGTGGAACACTGTGTGTTTAGATATTTATCAGTTTGTTTTCTGTATAAATAAAATTTTAAATAATTCTGAAAAAGAAAAGCTGCTGTGTTGTACCCTAACCATGGAGGATCTAATTAAGTTGTCACTCAGATAGCTGAAATGTCAGGAGGCACTGCCTCTGCTCTCAAGTGTATCTTCACAGATAAAAGCACTAATTGTCTTGCTCTTTATTCAAATTACGTTCTGCTCTTCATGCCTTCGTATGCCATCACAGCATGGCCATCAACATTTTAGGAACAGGAATTATGCGTGTTTCATGGGAATGAATACCGTATTTTTATATCAGTGTAATATAACAAACTGCTTTTATAACTTACAGTGTGTGTGTGACATTTTTTTATCCTCTGGTTTTATCCATTTCATGTGTCTTGGGAAAATGGTTGTAAATCAACAAGATTTTTTCATTGATCTTTTTAATCTTTGTAACAGTGGAGCATTTTAAGTACCATGTACTTTTGAGGACACAGGCTGGACTATTTAAAAAAATTATTTCATGTTCTTGTTTGTGTGTGCACAGAAAACAATAAGACCAAAACGAGTCAAGTACTATAATCAGGATCTTGCTGTTGAGTTTATTTTGTAGTCTTCAGAAATTTGTAAGCTTGTGTGGTGTTTCAGATTTTTTAGCCACGTTCTACATGTTTAAATAAACATAATTTTTCAAAAGTCAGTAGATCATTACTTATGTTTATTAGAGCAATATTATACCTGTGCTTGGCTCTTCAGCTGCCTCAAAAATAGAACAAGGAGGGAATTGGAACAGTGATGAGTTTGCTGAGATGAAATTTTTTAAAAAGGCAACAAATACATCCACAAACATATGCTCCATTAAGTTGAGTGAAACCTCCATATTTACCCAGTCCCCTACTCCAGACAGTTAGGAGTGTGTTAAGGGAAGACATTCCTTACTTACTGGGTTGTCACTGGTAGGATGTTCATATTGATATCTGCTTACTTCACATATGTTCACTGTTACATATATTTGCACAGAACTTCATTAAGATTACTTGCAAGGCTTGAAAAGCAGTAAAGGCAGAGAATTAAAAATATAATTAAATATATTTAAATTATATTAAATTAAAGATATAAAGTGTTGCATCTAATTGTTAGTCTGGTTCTTCTGAAATGGTAGACTTCTGTCCGGTTTACTCCTCTTGAGAGTTCAGATGGAGATGATGGATTTATTTGCATGCTTCATTTGTGTAAGATCATCAGTATGGAGGGTGGCCATGCCAGGAATGACAAGGGTCAGGGCCATGGAACCTTTTGAGTAGCAATGAGTACAACATATTCTGCTATCCCTCTGAGACTGTTAATCTACCATAGTCCAACAATTCCTTTCCTTGGCACATTCGTCCCATTTATTTCTTCACTCTGTGTGTGTCAGAACAGTATGTTATATAAAGCATATAGTTTTGAGCTAGTTTAAACTATTTTGTCACCAGAATCAGTTATCCCTGAATGTGTTCCTTGAAAGTAAGGGAAGGGGAGTAACAGATGAGTGGTGGGGTGATCTTATATGGAATCATTCTGAGTTGTGAATCATGATGTATTTTGCAAAATTACTGTTCAAGCATTTGAAGTTATGTATTCTGAGACTATGAAAAGATCTTTCCACATTGTTTCTATAGAGCATTTTTCAGAAATGCAAGCTGTGAGAAGCTTTAAATGAAAAAGTAATTTTACAGCAAACCATATAGTACTTTGCTTTTTCATGTTCCTTCTCTTGCACATCATACCCACTCAGGTAGGAAGCTGTTCTTTAAAAAAGGAAGTGGCATTGGATTGGAGAGGCTTTTTGGCGAGAGGTGAATGCTGACACTATACACACATCTTCACAACAACATCTGCAGGGGGGAAAACCCAATCAAATCCTCCCAGTGTGAAAACGTTGAAGCCCTCTAGAGGCAGAGAGAGAAAAGCTGGATTCATACCAAAAATGCTGAACTGATTTGAATCAGCCTTGTATGTCATGGAGACAGCAAAAATACTCCAAATCCATCAGTTTTATGAACAACAAATCCTGCATTATTTGATCATGGTATCACCTTCTCGGTGCCCATGTCTGCCACATAAATCTGGATGAAGAAATTTGCATCCCACATTGACAGTATTTGCCTTGTTACAGTGAGCCACTAAGATTTTGAAACATCCTTCATGTCCCTCTGTCTCCATAGAAACCAAACCCTGCATATTCTGACATAATTATGACTTAACAATGTGGAACAATATCCCTCACCTTATACATGGCAGGGAAGGATGTTAGTAAAAACTGGGAAGTTAGTTACTGAAAAGGGAAGACAGCAATTAAGGAAACAGGTGAGTTATATTGAAAAATCATCTGACACTCCTCAGCTGCATACACTAGCATGCCATCTTCCATCACCATCCAACCCAAAATATGTCCCTTGATTTCCCCCATCCTCTTTAATCCTTCCAACAGAGACCAGACTTCATCATAGTATTTTTGGAAGAGGTAGCCATGTTAGTGCAAGCATATCAGACAAAATCCAAAGAAACAAAACAAAGACAAAAATGTGGCACCTTAAAGACTAAGCATTATAACGTGGTGGTGGATAACGCTGGAAATGTTACATTTGGTAATGGCTTACAAAACCTTGGCTTATATTCAATCAATTTCTAGGGGTGTACATCATGTGTATAAATTTTATCTCGGCTGTTTCCCTCTGTATTTTTGATTTGTAATGACTCTTCTAAAATAGTGACTTTTAAATCTTCCACAGAGTGACCTGGTAAACGGAAATGGTTGGATACATGTTTATGTGTATTTTGGTTTCTTAGGTTAGATTTGAGGCCACCAATTCACCTAGTTACACAAGAGATACCACAGACTTCCTAAGGAAACTTCAGTCCACATACATCCCACACAAAGATGGACTACAAGCTATCACAAACATCATCTAAAACAAAAAAGAAGCCCTCATAACCACTACCCTCTGTAACTTCATATTCACACAGAACTATTTCACCTTTGACAATAACACTTCCCTCCAGATCAATGAAACTGCAATGGGGGCCCATATGGCTCCACAATATGCAAACATATTCAGGGCTGATCTGGAACAACTCTTCCTCAATTCCTTCTGTATTTGAGATACATTGATGACATTTTTTTCTGATCTCAACCCATGAAAAGAAATCCCTAGAAAAAATTCCACCAGGATTTAAATAACTTTCACCCAAACATCAACCTCAACCTGGAACAATCTATGCAACAGATGCATTTTCTGGACACCACTGTGAGACTACAACATGGACATCTTAGCACCAT